CTATTTTTGGGAGATATGAGTACCAGTTCTTGTGAGAAAGCTATGAACCCAGCTAGTGATCAGCAGTATAAACAATCCAAAAAAGAATTATCAGCAGTATATTCCTCTTTCTTTTTTATTTTATAGGAGAACATTTCCTGTTATAATATGTAGACAATTTTTGTTCACCTCCAACATTCCCACTTCAACTCATCTTCTATAGTGTCCCTAACCATTCCTTTTTGTTACTTATTGAAAGAAATTTTTACGTGTATTCTTTTGAGGAGAAGATGGAAATTTCTTCCTCAATTTCACTGAGTTGCAGCTTGCTACGTTATATTGAATTAGTCCTAACTCTAACTAATGTCCTTGCGGTATAATATGTGTTTGTAGAACATTGTGCTATTGGCTCCCAAAAGTGAAAATTCATAGCCTTCGAAAACTTTAATATACGAATCTTCATGTAAGCTGGAAGTAGCATTTTAAATTCTTAGGACCATGTCGCTTTGTTATTTACTGAAGTGTCACTAATACGATTAAACTTTGCCTATCTGCACTTGTATCATAGGAGATGTTAATTTACCTCTCTTTTTCCTTCTTTTCCAGGATAATGATTTTTTGCTGCTTTTCAATTGAAAATACTGTAAAATTGTTAATTTTGCATCAGTGGTAAAACTTGAAATAAGAACTTAAATTATAAATTCAGAAAGTTTCTGCAATTCCTTTCCCAAAAAAATCATCTCATACAACCCACACCCTGTATCTCACTGCCGTAGTCTTTGTCCTATTCTCCGTTAGGTGGTAGTTTCATGTGGACTATCATATCGATACTGTTATTAGAAGATTTTATTCTATAAAAATGTTTTAGATGCCTTTCTAAGTGAAGGACCCAGAATGATCTTGGAGTATCTACTACATAAATACAAATTCAGGCGTCTATCAAGTTTAGGTTATGAGCTTAGCTGTATCATCCTTTTTTGAAAAGTAAATCACTGGGAGAACTCCCCATCTGAAAATTATTATCATCCATTTGGCACTTGTTAACCTTTCTTTTCATTCAGTGTTGATGGAACTTATTTATGAAACTCTCAACTTTCACACTAGCATGTGATATACATGCCTCTTTCTCTATCTCTTTTTATTTTCTTCTCTCCATTTGGTTTGTCTCGGCCTCGCGATATTTAACGGTGGGCGAGGAACAACAAATTTAACCTCATCGCTTCTTTGCCATTTCAATCTAAGCCATTTGTTGAGTCTCCCGCATCTGCTAAGGGATCGGGGACTTGGTCTCTTTATATGGCTTGGGCAATCCTCACCTCATAAACTAGCTTTTGGGGTTGAGTAAGGTCCAAACTCCATTTCTTTATCACCATTGATTTACTTCTCATTCAATCGCTACATCTCTTGAAATAGCTGGTCATCTTTTTTATAATGTGTAACGTGGGAGTCTGACTATATTATAATATATGAAAAACAGGGTAGTGAAGCCCCTCTGTAGCATGTTTGGTATATATATATTTGGACATGAAAAGCTCAACTTTACTTACCCTAAGCACAACCCCAAAAGCGGAAAAAGTAAAATAGACTAGTGCATCTTTACAGATGCAAAATTTAGAAGTTTCTGTGCATCTTCATGTGTCAAAGATGCGAGTCTAAGTTCCTAGTTTTATCTGAATCAAGTGTGTCTGAGTTGGAGTCTTATGTATAAAGTAATATTCCTAAAACCCGATATATATGTCATTCAAATGTCTTATTGTTGTATTCACAGTTTGGAGGAGCTCCAAGAAGGCTCTAAGGCCCTGCATGATGTTTTTGAACTTGATCTACCGAAGATGCAGAAAGAGAAGCCAGCAACAGTTTCCCATGCTACCTCTAGTGTCTGTGACCGCTGTGGCCGCAACTTATATGGCTCTTCATAAGATATTGAAAGTAGAGGTAGTTTTCATAGATAGCAGTAGGCCCCGTCTTCTTGTTCTACACTATACATTTCATATCATTCGAATTGCTTGCCCATACGCCATCATAAAAAAAGTATCATCACAGTACTCCAGATGTCTGAACTTATGTACGATCAACTATTTGGTGCCCGTTAAAATCATTATCTATGACAAGCTTGAATCAGGCACAACCTAACTACTTATATTTGAGTTCTTGCATACTGAGAAATGCAAATAAAGTTGTCTGTTTGCTGAGTACTTGTTATCTTAATTCTTATGTATAAACATGTCAAAGTTGATTTCCAACCTAATGAATTGGAACTGGAAATTCAAGAAAATCTTGTTGTCTGAGACCTTCTGGTATCTGCATTCTGCCTGCCTGCCTATGGACCAGCATACAGATTATCCACATTGCTTGTTTTGTTGATTGTCTCATAATGGGATTACAGAAAGAGGTATATTGCATATTTTATGCTTGAATTATTTGAAGAGCTCGCTATTTGAGCAATTGTTTGATGGTCTTTATCTGGATGTGCAAAAGTATATTAAGTCTGCATGTAATGTCCTTATTTTGAAAATGTCGGATTAATTTTATGGATGGGCGCTCAACTTTCACTTTATTGTACTATTGTCACTATACTATTTTTGTAGTGAGAAAGTCTTCCAATTTTACCTTAGTATCACGAAAGTCTCTAAGCTATTTTTTTTGTAACCAAAGGGTCACTACTCACTCAAACTTTATCCAAGTGTAGTAGGAAGGTACTGGGAGGAGATAAAAGGATAAAGGGAGCCGAGGGTCTATCGGAAACAACCTTTCTACGCCCTCAGGGTAGAGGTAAGGTCTGCGTATACTATCCTCCCTAGACCCCACTTGTAGGATCTTACTGGGTTGTTGTTGTTTTAGGCAAAGTTGAGTAACTTTTTTGGTTTAAAAAATGGTCTAATGATTTTTTAAGATGCGTAGGAAAAGTTGAGACTTTTCGGTTACCAAAAAAAAAAAAAAGTTTAGTGATTATGGTACAGTAAAGTAAAAATTGAGTGAGTGAACATCCATGAAATTACTTCGAAGAGATGCTAAACTGATCTAGCTTTATTCTTTAGTTGGCTACTTTTTGTTACCATAGTTGACGGGTAAATACCCACAGGGTGTTCATATCAAACCAAAATATGTATCTTTCATATATTTATTTATAACTTATTTATGATTAAGTGATATATATATTACACTTTAATTTTTAAGTGCTAAAGATAAATTAGTTGATTTGATATAAATATTCGATACGAGTAAGTTTATACCAGTTTTACATGTGTCTTTGATAATATAGTGTGTGTAGAGAGAAAAGAGGGAGAGAGAGAGTAAGCTAGATTCTAGTATAAGAGGTAATTTTATTATGTCTCTGGATATAACATAGAATGCCAAAATCTTCCTTAAGCCTGAAGGAAAGGAAAGTAGTTTTGGTTTAAGTTCTTTTAAAAAATTGGTATTAAATATGGTATTCGGTATTTAAAAATAAAATGTCGATTTCGTACCGAAATATATATTGTGTTATATAATACATATATTATTAATTATAACATAAATATTAACGTTCTAAATTTAACTTGCCGTTATTTTTATAGTTTTCTTTACCCTTTACCTCTTTTTTCACTATATTTACCTTTCCCACTTTTCTTTGGTTGCGTACTCGTCTAGGTTTAACATTTTTGATTTTCATATTTTTATTCACTATATTATAATATTTTTATCTTCGTATTTGTAAGTACTTAATTTAAGAATATTATAGTCTATGGCTTTATGCACTAGTCAATATTCGTGCCGAATAAATCAAAGTTATTAGACCGAATAAACCGAAATCGAAAAAAGAAAAGTCGAACCATACCGAATTTAATTAGGTATAGTATTGGCATAGCGTTTTAAAAAATCGAATAATGAAAATATTGAACCGATATGTTTAAATACTGTGCCGTACGACGACAAACACCCCTAGTGTTGATAGGACAGAGGTTAATTTCAAGAAAATGTTTCGGTGAGGAGTCACTTTATAATGATTTCAAGATTTTTCTTTCACTCATGTGCAGAAGTTAATTTTTTTTTACTATTGACTTTATTTTTAACATCATATTATTTGTTTCAACTAACATATAATTTTATTTTAATCTTTTAGTATATTAAAAGTTCATCAGTTCATTCTTCAATTTGCTAATATTATTTTTAATTCTTTAATGTATACTTTTTCTTGAAAGTATTTTCCATTCATTAACTAACATTAGATTTTTTTTTTTACGTGAAAATATGTTACTTGCAAAATGACTTTCGACGTACCAAACACAATTTGAATACGACCTTTTTCACTTTTAAGATATTTAAGGAGACTTTTTGGAATTTTCATTATTGTATTTGTAACAATAGCATTTTGCGAAAAGCTTATCGTCGTTGGATGGTAGGATTACTTGGAAGTGACTCATCTTGTGATTTTATTATTATTCTTATCATGTGTACAGCAAATTTTCTGATTTTATGGTATCAATTGATTCTTAAAGTCATTGATTTAATTTTCTTCTTCTTTGCATCTAGGGTGTCTAATATTTATATATGGTATATAAGTAGAGACGGAGCTAGCCTATTAGGTGCCGATTCTGTCGAATTCAGATCACTTTTGCTTAAATATTGTTTTTTACACTAGAAAATTTATTATACATACATAAATATTTAATTGCGAATCCAATAACTAAGACAAGTTGTACATTCCCTTACAAATTCATAATCTATATATAATTTAAATCCTGGGTATGCGTAAGAGGGATGTAAAATTTACTTTTTTTTTTAGTTTTCCATCCGATGTCCGGTACCCGCATTGGAGCCCGACTATATCCGGATTCGCGCCGCGTAGGGCCCTATTCGGGGGGAAGCGCTCCCTACCAAGAATTTTTTCATACCCAGGACTCGAACCCGAGACTTCTGGTTAAGGGAAGAGCAATCATATCCATTGCACCACATCCTTTGGTGGTGAGATGTAAAATATAGTTACNATATATATAGTGAGAGTTCTAGAATAAAATATGTCACGACACAAAATCTACTAAGGGTCGTGATGGCGCTGGACACCGCTGTCAAGCAAGCCAACCATAAATACTTAATTAAATTCTCATTTAACAATTGTGAAAAACTCTGATTTTTCTTCAATTTTTACTAGTACAAGATACTCAGTTCAAATTAAATAAACATGTCAAGAAGTCAATACAAAATACTCCATAACTACCTCAGAACCCGGTGTCACAAGTGCATGAGCTATTTCTAGGAAGCAATACAATACAACAACCGTCCGGAATACAAATTGGACAGAAAATAAATACAATAATCTGGAAGAGACTCTGCTGGCTGCGGGTCATCTCGAGCAGTGCAGCTCACCTAAATCTCCGCATCAACCATGCTGCTACACCCGCCGGGCCACTAGTGATGCATGTGCTTGTGCAACAAAAATGCACAGCAAGTGTAATATGAGTACGAAAACAACGTGTACCCAATGAGTATCCCGCCTAATCTCAAAAAAGTAGAGACGAGAGGTCGACTTCGACACTTGCTAGTGGTCCAATAATGTTATATCAATAATATAGTAAATCGTGGATTTTTATAAACATGACTGTAATTCAATAGGTTGAAGCAAGTAAACAATTCTTTTTTTTATAGGAAATTTCCAAATTTCTTTTCATCATTTATACATATAGTCTTAAGCCGGGAAGAGGCAATAACAACTTCAATAAGTTTCAAGGCAAGCAATACAAGCATGCGCAAATCATGCCAAGGTCGTACGGCCCGATCCAACAGAAATGTAAAATGTGCACTGCCGAGGGTCGAACGACGCGAACCATAGATGCATCTATTAACCCGCTTTCGAATTATACATGCGACGCGGTCAAATTTAAATAAACAATTACCATGCTCGCGAATCATACATGCGAAGCTGGTACACATAGAAATACATGCTCCAATAGCCAATTAAGAATTTATCGGGGAATATTTATCCAAATAAAAGCCAATTCTCTTTTAATGATTTAAGAAAATGAAGTTTAATCCTTTTAGAAATTCATTTACCAATTCGATAGGATTTAAGCAATTCAACTGCCAACAAGATTACAGATATTCCAAGTATAGCATGCTTTAGGGTCCTAGACTACCCGGACTTATACATATTAGTAGCTACGCACTGACTCTCGCCACCTCGTGCGTACGTAGCCCCCACAAATAGGAGCAAATAACTAATTATTTTACATATGAGGACAATTCCCTCTTACAAGGTTAGAAAGGAGACTCACCTCGCTCTGAAGTTCCATAACCGGTATTCCATGCCCTTCCGAAGACTCGAATCGATGCTAAATGCTCCAAAACTAGCCAATAATTATGCAAATCCATTAAAATATGTTCAATTACTCATTAGAATCCAATTAATAACAATTCCTAACCCCGATCGAAAAGTTGACAAAATTGCCCTTGGGCCCACGTGCCCGGATTCCAAAATTTTTCAAAGATAAAGTTTACCCATGAACTCACGAACTCAAATATATGATTTTCTCTTAATTACATACCCAAGGTCGTAGTCAAAATCCAAGAATACGAATTTTCTAGGCTTTCCTCAAACCCCCAAATTTCTACCAATTTACATGCTTAAATCCATACATAATCAATATATTTAACTCAAGATAGGTGGGGTTAGCTTACCTTGTCGTTGATGATGAAAATCCCCACTTGAAGCTCTCCAAAATCGTCCACACCAAATGAAAATGGGGGAAAAATGACCAACTCCCGATTTTGAAAGAACTTACTGCCTCCAGTACTTCTGCACTTGCGGTCACACGACCGCTTCTACGGTTCCGTAGGTGCGACCCTTTTACCGCTCCTGCGGTTTCTCTCCAGGTTGCCCTTTCTACTTCTGCGCCTCAACACCCGCAGGTACGGTCCCGCTTCTGCGGCGAGATGACCGTATCTGCGGTCCTTATACTCCTAGCCATTTTCCGCTTCTGCGGCACGACGACCACTCCTGCGACTCCGCACCTGCGACCCTAGTCTCCAGGTGCGGTTACACCAGCAACCAGCAACTTCAGCCTTTTCCAAAATTCCATTTTTGATCCGTTAACCACCCGGAATCCACCCGAGGCTCCCGGGACCCCAACCAATCATACCAACCAGTCCCAAAACACATTACGGACTTGCTCGAGGCCTCAAATCTTATCAAATAACGCTAAGACCACGAATAGACCTA